AATTATCCTAATTATATTTTACATTTTTTTTATTTTAAAATAAGATGTTTATCCTCTATTTGATTATGTTTATCCGCAGTTAGTTATACGAATTCAAAAATCGAGCTTTGATAAGTTGTACTTTTGCATAATTTACTTGTAATCTTGAATTTTAAGTAAACATTGGTTTTATTATCTGCAGTTAGTTACACGAATTCAGATATGGAATAAAATTGGATATAGATGAAATCGTTTAAGGATGAACGAGTTTAAGAGTTTTAAGAATTTTTAAGAGTTTTTAAAATTTTTAGCCAAATACTTTATGAGGTGAACTTGTGTTTTTGCAACAAGAAATGCAAATGATAAGATGGATCAAGAGATCGATATGGAATGATAAAAACGTGAGGGACAATATGTGTAAATAAGCCAAAGTGAAAAACACGAGACCCTCTGTGCCAAGGAGAGTAGGAGACGACAGATCTCTTCCTACTTCAAATCGGAAGACAAGTGAAGGATCTAAATCAGCCAACATGGAGACCGAAAACCCGATCGCGGATGAGAACTCAGCAACAATGGCGGAAGTGCTGCCATTGGCCTCCGTTTCTCAACAACCATACGTCTCCGAACTCCTTTCCTTCACTCTCGATCGTCTACACAAGGAACCAGAGCTTCTCCGCGTCGATGCCGAGAGAATTCGGAGGCAGATGCAGGAGGTTGCTGTTAATAACTACCGTGCGTTCATTTCTGCCGCTGATGCTTTGGTTTCGATCCGCCATGAAGTCTCATCCATCGATAAACACCTCGAATCATTGGTAATTCGTTCTTCAAGAACTCGATGTCGTTTATGCTTCCTTTTTTACTAGGAGTTTGTTTTTATAAGATTTTGAACCATACTGCATCTTGAGAGATGGAATCAAAGATATATATGAATATAATACACACACACACAATTACGTTCCTAGGTTTGTATATGGCTGTGTAATGGCCGTAAAACTAGAAACTAAACGTGAAGTGCACAGAAAGAACTATTACCTCTGGTTGAAAAATGAACAATAGTTCTACTTTGACGCTGGGATCAAATGGCCACTTTCAACATTAATTGATTTGAACTTCTAAAATTGTTCTTAAAGAGTTCGTGAGTGCTGTAAACTTTGTAACAATTCTACAAACAAAATCCTTTTTTTGTCGGTGAATTGGAATAGGTGTTGTTTAGTTGTGCTGTTAAAATGTAACAGGAGTTCAAACATAAAGATTAGAAACTCTATTTTCAAAATTATTATATCTATGCTTTTAACAATGAGAAAAGTTAGGATCTCTTTTTTCCACTATGTAAAGCCTAATAGTTGTCACTGAGATGACGCATGGACATATACTGACCGATAAATCTTGGAGCATTCCTTTCTTCAAATGCATAACAGATCTTGCATTCCAATGTATAATCTTAACCTAGTCAATATCAATGCATCGAAACTATTTCGTAAGAAAAACCTTAGCAGAGTGACCCTAAGTTCATCCTTCTTGTACGATAAACTAGGCAAGTCACATGTGAATACTACCGGATGCTTTAACCATTTGGCTTCTGAATAGGAGAATTCCTCGCCTGTCATTTGTTTGTGCTTGCTAATGCTTTGTCATGCCACAGAATTATGATATGACGATTAATAAGTAGAGGTAGTTTCTGAAGTTTTACATGATTAATGTTGCCTGGGTATCCAGTATTCTACTGCGAAAATAAATAATTTGATTGTGAGGTTACATATTTCCTTTTAGAAAGATATGCTAAAGAATTAACTATGTACATAAAATGATTTAATATACTATATTTGTAGAATTTAAGATATAAAAACTGGTGCGTAGCTAATGTTCTTGTCTGTGTTCCGAACTATTGCAAGTATGGAATGCTTCACGATTACAGGAAAAAGGTGTGAGGGTTGGAAAGATGGTGCTAAGTAATCCGAAGACTTCTTTATCAACGATATTTGTCAAGCAAGAAAAGATAACAAATCAATAAAACAGAAGTTGTAAAACTTGTAGAGTCTATGTGAGGATGTTGGATAATAGATCCTGAACGAACTGAATCAAAAAGACATCTTGAATAACATGGCACTTGTTTGGAGTCTTGCTTTTAATTGCATAGTCTACTGTATAAGATTAATGACATATTGGTGCAAGTTTATGTTACAAGATGTTAAAATACCTATCATATTGAATTCAGCTTATTGCTGAAGAAGCTGATACAATGCATGAAGAAGATGAAGCGTGTTCATTGCAGCTTCTGCCATTGGGATCACAATGACCATTGGATATGGTTTGTCCGAAAGGAACCGCCATCAAAAAAGAATTTACTGATGTGCATATAGCATTATTTCAATAACTCATTTTCTTTAGCCATTGTCAACATAATTGTCTGTTATGTTTCTCACCGTGCTTCGGAAGATTTTTTTTTGTATCGTATATCAATGTAGTAAAGTAACAGTGTTGATCGGGTGTAGTGTTCTAAAAGGTGCAACATGGCGGCAAGACACGTCTCCCACGTCTTGTTAACTCTCATGGCGTCTGTTTAAGGCGCTGTGACGTGGCATGATGTCGTGAAGATGTGTTTTTTTATTTTTTTTTTGTTTTCTTTAACCTTTTGGACTTTAAATAATTGATTTTAAGGTTTATACATTTTTTAAGATCTATATATCAATATGTTAAATTTTATGTTTCATATGAGTTTAAATTATTCAAGATCATTGAGTAATAGTAAGAACATATATATATATATATATATATTATATTTGTACATGTAATATATGTATATATAGACACTTGCCTCTAACCCATGCCTTGAAAAATGTTGTGCTCCAAATGCTTGAGGCTTGACCTCGCTGCCACGCTACGCCCCTCGCTATTTAGAACCTTGATTTGTATAAGGAATATGGATATGCTTCCTCCCTTTCTTTTTCATATTCATCATTCTGATTCTTTTTGCAACCGTTGTATATTCGTTATGGGTTTATCTATGAACTTGATCCAAGTGCCATTTCATTCAATAAGATTTATCAGTGAATGTGCAGTGTTTTAGGCTCTTAATAATTGGATGATAGTTATTTGGTTATTTACAGGGTTAAAGCCATGACTTAATTGAGGGTTTTTGTTTTCTAACGTAATTAAATAGAATTGTTGCAAGACCATTCAACTCGTTGGTTTAAGCAGTAAATGTTGGCATTATTGCAATGTATTAACAAGAGTAATCATGGTTTCTGGTTTGAACTTTGGGGCACTTATATTTTGTTCATATTGTATTATGAAGGGTGTGAATCCCGAGAGTAAATTAAATTTATAGAGAAGCTTAACAAAGGCTTATGTTGGTAACTTGGTATGAGAGCTTGCACTTGTTGTTTAGAAATGTCACAAGTGCAATCTGAATTCTGTTGCATTTTTCCACAATGATGCAGCTCTATTGCCTCACCAAGATTTACGCTGGTTCGACTGAGGGGTGTTGAAGTTGATATTATTGTTGGATTTATGTCTAGAAGCTTTAGCTTTTGGATGCATCAGTCACTTGACACTTTTTTGCTTGTTCTTTAGTGTAAAAGTTCTCTGTTTTTGACTGGGATGTTGGACCAAGTTTTTTAAATATTGAACTCGGTGTTCTTTTTATGATTGGTTATAAGCTACTTATTTGTGATCTAGCCATTATATTTTGACCAGCATATTGAGTTGTGAAACACAATTTTTGCTATCGTGTTATATTGCTATACAATACAAGAAGCTTAACTATATGCTGATGATTATTATTTCTGCTTTAGTACTCTATCTGTTGACGAAGTTAAAATGGGATCATAATCATCCTGAATTCTTCTTGTGCAGATTGCAGAGGTCCCCAAGCTAACATCTGGCTGCTCTGAGTTCATAGAATCTGCCGAAAAGATTTTGGAGAAAAGAAAGATGAACCAGACGCTGCTGGCAAATCATAGTACTTTGCTTGACTTACTTGAAATTCCTCAGCTTATGGACACGTATGTTTTTGACCTATCAGTAGCGATCACATGCTAAGATTTAAACTAGTGGCTATTATTTCTAAGGCCAAAATTTCCCAATGGAATAAGTCAAGTATATAGATCTACATCTTTATAGTATAAATAAGAATTATATTAAACTTTGCATGAAACACATTCAATGGGAACTAGCAAAATATTTACATGAAAATTGAAATATTTTTGGTTTAGCATGTATATAGGGCTTGATCTGTTTGTTAAGACTCAACTACTTGAAAAGAATTTGGTACTAGTCACCTGTAAGGTATTTGATCACTCTTCTCCAGTGTGGGCTCTGTTCTTCAAGAAATGACTTGGCATGTCTTTGAATAAAGGAGTGTACCTTTTTTCCGTAAGTATCATTCTTTGATCTTCCATTGCCTTGTATATGATGAAGCATCAGTCTATAAAGTTTTGTATCTTATTTAGCAATGGGAACTGCCAGTCAAACCTTCAAATTGGCTGTCTGAACTACTTTTTCTTACATACAGACTATCAAATTTGATATCTTATGTGAACTTTTATTCCTCTCTTTTCCCTTTGAAATGAATTTTTTTTGGACATATGTCAATATCAACTGTTAAATCCCAACAACAAAATGTATAATTATTCTAACTAACATGTAAGGTAAACCATAACTACAACATTTAGAAGCATTGGAAATTAAGTAGAAGAGAGATAGAGATGTACTTCCGGTGGTAAGTAAAGAGTTCTTGCTAACAAATAGTGGTAGGCTGTGTCATAGGGGCAAGATTAATAGGTTGTGGTAGGAAAGTACAAGCAATTATTGCTCTGTTACAAGTGGGCAATGCATGGGTAATAAGTTGGTGGTTTTGAGTATAAATAAGGGGTGTGAGAGTGAGGGGGATTCATTCTGATTTGTGTGTTTAGTTAAGGCGAGATCCTGTGAGAGTACTGGCCTCTCGAAAGCCAGCAACTTTGTAACCATTCTTGATATCTTCTATTAAACCATTCTATTTCTTCAACCCTACTTTTCCTAGTGTGTATCAAATTATATCAGAGCAACCAGTCCTGGAAATCACCAGGAGCATGCTTGTGACCCTTAACAAAATGGCAACGTTAGCTTCAATGTATTCGAAGTTGGATTTGGTCAAAAGTAATTTGCAGACTCTCAAAGATTCTGACGATGAGGCCGTGTTTGATGAAGACAAAATTTATAGAGATGAAGAAAAGAATGTTAAGGAATTAAAGAGAGAACTTACACGAGAGAGATCATCGAGTTTCTTGTTCAACATCAAGAACGAAAAATCTACAACAATTTCACCAGCTAACAGACCAGATGGGGAGAGGACGTGGTCGCATTCAAATCCAGATCCAATTCCAGAACCAAATTCTCCTGATTTGTACACATCATTTTAGATTGCTTCAGTGGATGAGTCGGTGTCGATCAAGAATTCCTTTTGAAAGTCGATCAGGGAAATTCCGATCGATGGTGTAAATAGGAATGTCCTATTAGGCCCAATCAAGCCCACAAGTGACTGATGCAACAGTCAAGGGCGTCATTAGGCTAGTGGACTCAATATACCAAATTAGTTGTAAGTTTCTATTCATAACTCGTTTCTCACTGTCTTGTGACTCCAGTCATCAATTGACTGAAGATCAACGGAATATTCAAAATTGGCGATGGGTTGGAATCAAACGCTTTGAATGCCCAGGTACACATTGTCCAAACTATTAATAAATTGTCAAGGCAAGACATGGGCTGTTAAGGAGAAATCTCTATTGATTGTTGATGGAAAAACTTTAGTAGTTTAGTATATTTGAAAGTGACCGGGAGAACAATGAAACAAGAAGGAAAGGGAGTATTGATGAAGTTTGGCTTTATGACTATGTGGAAGCAGGAGGGAGAGGGAGAAACAGAGAATGTAGTGTTCCTTTTGCCAATGGGACGACCTTCTGACACGGGAAAAGATTGGTCATTGCCTATAGACGGGTCATAAGGGATCTGAGATTGGTGCAGCAGGAATTATGGCAACAAGTATCATGGTTGCTGATGTAGTGTGCCTCCTTGTTAGTATCATCCCTGAAGGTGCACAAAAGCATATATGGAGCCTAGCAGGCACAAAACAAGCCGAGGTAGAGGATGTTGTTACACCTTCTGGTCCTAATTGGTTTTAGTGGGGTGCTAGCATGGTTAATTTGTTAGAGCCATATGAAATCCTTAAGAAGTACAAACCCTGAGCAATCTTCTTTCTTAATGTTTTTGTTTATGTCGTATGCCCCTCGACTTTCAGCCAACAACGTTTCTACACATGTGGCATGCCAGTTCTTTTTGGCAATACAATACTGAAAGGAATGGGTGTTATTGGTTACTTTAAAGGTCCATCAACATGGCATCTATCAACTGGGGAAGACATAGAGTTTGATCAGGATTCCTCAATAGCCAACACAAAAGCATTTGAATCCCGTTTGTGATAAATCTTAAACAAACCACCGTGTTAAAGCACAAGCAATTAGTGCTCTGGTACAAGTGGACAATGCATGGGTAGTAAGTCGGTGGTTTTGAGTATAAATAAGAGATGTGAGGGTGAGGGGGATTCATTCTGATTTGTGTGTTCAATTTAGGCGAGAGCCTGGGAGAGTACAGGCCTCTCGAAAGCCAACAATTCTGTAATCATTCTCGATATCTTCTATTAAACCATTTGATTTCTTCAACCCTAATTTTCCTAGTGTGTATCAGCCTCCATCTATGTGTTCCTGACAGTAGTTGTGGTGAGTCTTGCAACGCAAATGTGTGTCATCACAAAAATTAGCATCAAGTATGTGCAAGTATATACACTTTAAGTAAGTTGTCTCTAAGAAATAATAGAGTGGTAAGAGCCAAGTCTCAATGTATCATGTCTACTAGGAATTGACGTTTTCATATCAAAGAATTGAGTAAAAGATCAGCCAATTTAAGAGGGTGAATTCGAAGGATAAACTTGGAGGTTGATTTAGAAATTAAACAGGTAGCATTTGGTGTAAAGTCCTTCTAAGTTAAAAAAAAATTAGGAAGCTTGTGCATCCTACAACAAGAATTTGTTGCAACATCCTGCATCATCTCTCAGTTCTGTTAGTTTCTGCATGAACACTTTTCCATGTTCGAGAGACATATATTAGATGCATTTTCATGTTCCTATTCAAAAATTAATATTAGATGCAATACAACCTTAATCTGTGCAAGCCATACTAAACAAGTGCATTTTCCTATGCCACTTTGATAAACCTTTGCAAGTTTATTTTTTGCATAATTTCAAGTTGGTTTTGCCTTGGGTATACTGATTTATGAGTTTCAACAACAATGAAACACATCTTCCAGTGATCAACTTACTTGCAAAATGTTTTTTATCAAATAAAAACATGAATGAAACAGAATGAGAATGCCAACAAGATGAATGACAACCCACTACCATTGTATCTCAACCTAGAATTCATTTACACTCACTCTTAAAAACTTACCCTATCTTTACATAAGAGTAAAGAGAAAGAACAACGTAAATGATAAAAGGCATTCTACTAATGCAAGTCAAGCAACATGTTTTACAGCAGAACGACAACCGAAAGAATTAGCAGCTGTCCCAGAACTTAAATGCTTCCTCGAATGTGAAACTACTAGCATAAGTAAATGCAAAATGAAATGTAAAAAGTACGGTTAGAATAAGACTAAAAGATCACAAACTCGATACAATGGTACACCAATAATCTATCCATCAGCATAATTTTCAGAAACCGTAACTCCTCAAGAACTTCAAATATCGTTTGGCTGTAGAAAATAAAAAGAACAAACACATACCAGGAACATATACAAAACATGGCTTCAAATAAGGGTAAAAGATTCTGTAACAACTCTCTAAATGAGAGTATCAGTAGTCAAAGTTGTCAGTGGTGCAAATAGGTTATGAATGGATATTGTATAGTAAGCTTTTACACTGTATTTTATTGCTCAAGTGCCAAAGGTTTTTCAGTTTTCTAGTTGGTGCTTTTTTATTCAAATGTTTTTTTGTTGCAAATGTGGTAGTTTTGATGGATTTTAGAGGAAGCAATAGTATTATAGTAACATTATCACTCTCAATTCTTGTTTCCTTCCTTATAAAATGGGTAATTGTGGTGGGCACTAAATATTGGTGCTTGTGTGTGAGTGTGAGAGAGAGGTGATCATGTTAAGGAGGTTGGTTATTGAAGTATTAACATTGTTAAACATACTTGATCGTGGAGTGTTTTATGCAAATCGAACGCATTATATTGAGTTGGTTGTTACATAGATAGCATGCAGAATATATTCCATGCATTTGTTGATATTTGATTATGCGACTTTTGCCACCGTCATATGATGGTAGCGATAATGGACATGTCTTCTTCTCTGTCTTAAAACCTGCAATTCCTTTGACCAACAACTCAATCATGTGGAAGTTGGAGCGTATAAGCCATCGTCAAAACCTTGCCCTCTTTCTCAATTGAAAAGGAAACGAGGGAGGTGGGAAAAAAGGATGCAGACTACAAAGTTAATATACCAGCATGGCAGCATGGAATAATGCATGTGTATACATTTTTGAATTTTTGATTCCTTGTTATCCTTTTTATCGTATTTAATTTTTGTGAATTCCAACTTGTTCTCCGTATCTCAAGATTGCTCAGAATTTTAAAATTTTAACCTTCTTAAGGTGCGTGAGGAACGGAAATTATGATGAAGCTCTAGACTTGGAAGCATTTGTCAGCAAACTGTCGACAATGCACCCTAAGTAAGTTTTCCATCCTAACTACAAAGTCATCTGCTTACCTTATAATCTCATAGCATTAACTTAATGAGTTACAAACTTACCACTCTTATTTTTTTCTTTGCTATTGTCTGTGAAGATTACCAGTCATTCAAGGACTCGCTGCAGACGTTCGACAAACCACCCAGTCTCTGCTCTCACAGCTTCTCCAAAAACTAAGATCAAATATTCAGGTAAGTTTGTGGTCACACAACATAACCTTTTTGTTTATTTTGAATGATTTGTTGATCTTAGAAAGTATATAGTAACGATGATGATAACAATGATGGTAGTGATAATCAGTGGTGGATCCAGGAAGTCATATGATGGGGGCACACCTGGGGGTATTAAACAAATCTAAAGTCGAATAACCCAACCAAACCGAATGAAGGTTCATGTTAAACGGTTTTGGGTTACTAGGAAATCCTTAGCAAGACACCGTTGATGGCAGCGAAGAACACATGATATGACAAAAACTCACAAGCATTGCAAAAGAAACACAGACTTCGAATGTAGAAATCATCCAAAAAACACTAAAATTGCTGAGAATTACAACACCAAAAGCATTAAGTGGGTTGCTCAGAGGAGTGAATGGGTCGCTCAGGGGCGGTTAGTGAGTCATCAGAAGAAGGTTGAGGGCAGCAATGGGAGAAGGTTTTGGGGAAAAAATGGGAGAGTTATAATTGGGGTTTAAAAAATATTCACACTTTTTTACATGCCCCCTACCCCTTATACGCACATCTGCCCGTGGTGATTATAATGAATTTATGTTATTGTGTTAGAATGTGTTTCCTTCAAAACCCCAGCCTTTATCGTCTATTGCAGTTTTCTGAAAGGCCAGTGTATTGCAGTTACCAGAATGTCTTCGCATTATTGGGTATCTACGACGGATAGGAGTATATAGTGAGTACGAAATGCGCCTACAGGTACTGTATTTTATTTCTCACATGTACTTGACAATTTAGTCAGCCAAGTTGCCTATGAGGTGTCTTTTTGAAGTAATCTCTTTTAACGATCCTAACTTGTTTACCTGCTAATGATAATATTTTTGATGGGACAGTTCCTAAGATGCAGAGAGTCATGGTTGTCTGGCATTCTTGATGAACTAGATCAGAGAAATGCTTATGAATACCTAAAAGGGATGGTAAACTGTCATAGGATGCATCTTTTTGATGTTGTTAACCAATATCGTGCCATATTTGCTGATGATACATCAGGAAGTGAAGAGAACTATGATGGCGGACTTCTATTCAGCTGGGCCATGCATCAGATTGCTGCTCACCTTAAAACTCTAAAGATCATGCTCCCAAAAATAACTGAAGGCGGGTCATTGTCCAATATACTGGACCAGTGCATGGTTAGTGTTAGATATGTATATTACATGAAACTTTTGCTGCCCACCCATTGAAGCACCCCTAGACATGTTTAGGATTTTTATTGGTAAGCTTAGACATATGAATCTTATCCAAACTAGTGCACACGGTGTGAACCTTTTATAATATCTTCAGCATTTAATTCTAGAATGTTCTCCAAAATATGGAGATTTTTGTACTCTCTCCTACTTTCTCTATTTTGGAGAAGTTTTTAGAGGATATGTTGGAGTTAAAATGGGTTAAAGTCTCCATCTTAGAGTATCTGGTGGAGATGCTCTAAGAAGCTTCAACTTGCATGCCCCAGTTGACAACTCTTTCTTGCATCTAAATACTAGGTTTAAGATACATGCTTCAAGTGTGAAGTTGAAATAATTGTGGTTTTAAGCCAGAGTACTTTTGTTTTTGCTGAAGCTAATATTGATTCTCTTTATTCTTCATAGTATTGTGCCATGGGGCTTGGATGGGTTGGATTGGATTTTCGGGGCTTGCTTCCACCTCTTTTTGAAGAGTAAAGTTACCCTGGTCCTCCTTTTTCTATTATTCATTTGCCTTGTCATGCATGAATCACATAGTGCACAACTTTACTTTTTTGTCATTTCTGCAGGGCTGTCTTAAACCTATTTTCAAAAAATATGAGTACAGCAGCGGAGAATTTTCAGGTACACATGCATCTTGGTTCTTTTTGTCAACTTTCTAGATCCATTCACTGTTCCTTATTTTTGGTGGAAATATCATCCTGGTCGGAATATGATACCTGTTGACAATGCATGGCAATTTATTCTCGGAGTTTCTAGTGAATTCATCATTTATGAACTTGTTTCTATTTATTACAGTTGGTTTTGGATTCTCATCGATGGGTCCCATTACCAGCTGTTGGCTTCTCATCCAATAGTTTTGGCGAAGAGAGTCAGGAAGATATTACGCCGCCTCCAAGTTTAATGGAGCATCCACCTCTTGCTGTTTTTGTTAACGGTAAGTTGTATATAACTTTGTTATATAAAATATATAAATTTAAATGAAGCATTTACCTCTTGCTGTTTTAATTGATGGTAAGTTGTAAATAACTTGATCATATAAAATATATTACTACGGGCAAGTCGTCTTTCTCCAAGTGATATCTCTGTAATGAGAGAATTTGTTTTGTGTGCTGTTCATACTTTGGATTACTTTGTTTCTTATGATTATACTATAACTTTTGCAGTTCGAAATTAACTTGTATCGTCTGTTTGAAAGAATAAAAATAGGATATGCTAGTTGAAGTGTCAAAACATGGAGTTCTTACTAGAACCTCGAGAGTGGTTACTTCAATCTATAAATGGACATACTCTCCAAATGTTATTGTAACTATGTAGTTTTTTAATTATACATATTTCTTGCAATAAGAGTTCTCATATATGTTTGATGAGATAATGGATACAAAACTCATGAATCTGAGTAGCTTTTTGTACAAGCAGTTTAATCTAACGCTTTTTTATTTGTTTATATGAACTTTTCTTATGCTCAGATTCCGCTGAGTATATATTTGAATGTTCATTTTTCACTACAACAAAATCGGGTTTATGGGACACCAAAAACATCCAAGTGTCCTAATATACTATTTTATAAGACTTAAGTTTATAGGACCAAACAATTGTGCATTCTATGTAAAAGTGTTACAATAAGTTTGTAGGAAATCAAGCTAGGGATATCGATATCCTGTTAGCTGATTCTTACGGATCAGTTACATATTTTGTTAATTCTCTATTTATTAGATAGGATTTGTATTTTCTCTTGGGAGCTGATTTATCGGGACTGTTTATATCTTAGAGGCTGATTTATAGAGCGGTTGTAAGGGCTGCTTGTACATAAATTTGTACACTGTATTCAGATTTCAATAGAAGCTTTTCACACATCCCAAACAACTTAAGGGTATCACAGTTATAGGTTACAAATCCTGCTTTTTCTCAAGCCATCCTCTTCTTTAATCTCCTCTTTCCTATCTCTCGAAACCTCTCTCATGGGGGAATCGAATCTCTTATCCAAGGATTCACCCACTTCCATTCCCAAGACTCCTTCAACATCTCGTCTCAACTCAACTGCCTCAGAATAGAATCCTGTCCTGATCACCACTCATAAACTAAATGGCCACGACTATCTTTAATGGTCTAAGTTAATGACGATGTTCATAAGTGGGCGAAGCAAAGATGAATACCTTATTGGAGATGTTCCAATACCAGACCCAAAGGATGATGGTTACAAGATTTCCAGAAAACAATCTGGTCATGTCTTTGTTGATCAGTTCTATGACCACTGAGATTGGAGAGTTCTTACTGTACACCACAACAAAAGACATATGGGAACCAACACGAGAAACATTCTCCACCAACGAAACACAACCGAACTCTTTCAAGTTGCAATCTTCAAGATTTACGTCAAGGAGAAAATCTCGTAACAATTTACTTCACAACCCTCACTCGCTGTTGGCAGCAACTAGATTTGTTTGAGATACATGAATGGAAGTGCCATGAAGATTGTGAGAAATTTTGGAAAATCAGTGAGACTAAAACAGGTCTTCAAAGGGGCTTGACAAATCCCTTGATGAAGTAAGACAGAGAATTCTCGCAACCAAGCCTTCACTAAGTCTACAAGAGGCTTTTTCTGAAGTTTGCAGAGAAGAAAGCTGAAAACCGGTCATGTTAGGACAATCCCAACACCACCAATCACTTATGATATTGCGGATTTTGCAGTAGGCAAAGATAACACATTCACAAACCCTGGAAGTGCGTTTGTTGGTCGAAATAACAGTCAAAATACTAATGACAATCGCAACAGAAGAAGTCACCCTTGGTGTGATGGTGGACAGGACACTTGGAGGAGACATGTTGGAAGTTGCATGGAAAGCCTACTGATTTGGAAGCCAAATAGGTAATACCGTCATTTCTGAGACATCTCAACCAGGTAATTCACTCTATTTAGCAAAGAGCAATTGGAACTTCTCCAACAGCTCATACAAAAGGCAAACAACTCTACTCAAAGCTCCAACAACGTTACATTATATGCAAAATCATCCTTCTCACCTTGGATTATTGACTCAGGAGCATCCAACCACGTTACAGGTGATCGATCACTTTTCTCAACTGATTTCCCTTGTATCGGCTTTCAAACTGTATGTATTGACAATGGTACTCTCACCAAAGTGGATGGAACAAGAATCATTGAACCTTCAACCACTATTACACTCAAATCAATGTTATTTGTGCTAAAACTTGATTGTAATCTCATATCAGTTAGCAAACTAATTCATGACTTAAATTGTGCAACTAAACTCCTTCGTAAGTCTTATATATTTCAAGACTTGTGCTCGGGGATGATTGGCAATGCTGATGTGCATGCAAATTGTAACGCCCCCCAAACCATACATTGCATATAACATATATATCATACATAGAATACATGTTATCTCCCACATAGGTCCATAATACAAAAGTCTATAAATTACATAGACAAAAAAAAAAAAATCCAAAAGTACATGCTCTTGTATCCTAGCATCCAAGCTTCAATATATA